ACTTCCGTAGTGATACTGCCTCGGAAACCCAAGGAGGGGTCGCTATGAGTCGGGGCCGACTCGACGGCAAATAACAACAACAACAACAACAACAATATATAAGCTTTACTGTTTTTTCTTCCCTAGAGAACCCAACCTAAGACAACTGGGAACTATAGGCTAGCCAAATAGACACATGAGAATTGCTATCATACAAAAAAAAAAAAGACATATATACCCAAACCAATATTTAAGGAATAGGTAAGACTGAAGAAGTGAAGAAGAATTGATGCCTTTGAATTATGGTGTTGGTGAAGAACATTGAATATACCATGGACTACCAGAAAAATGAACAAGCAAGGATGGTGAGACTTCATCTCATGTACTGTGGACATGTTATCAGAAGGTACCAGTTCCTGGAAAAGGATGACATGCTTCAGATAGTAAGGTGTCAGCAAAAAAGAGGAAGACCCTCGACAAGATGGATTGACACAGGGCTGCAACAGTGGGCTCAAGCATAGCAATGATTGTGAGGGTGGTGCAGGACCAGGCAGTGTTTCATTCTGTTGTACACAGGATTGCTATGAATCAACTGACTCAATGGCACCTAGCAACAATAACCAACAACAAATATTTATTGAATGTATGCGACATAACTAGTTTCACCTCTAATTTTGACATTTCAATATTTTAAAATATTCTTGAAATAGGTGGCATTCCTAATTTTAGAGATTAATAAACTAAGACTCAGAAATGAAGCTTTGTCACACAGCCAAGGAGGAGTAGGATTTGCTTCTGAAGCATCAATACATTATGTGTGCAAGACACACATAATTGTCTTATACTCAAGTTAAAAAGAAGACTAAATGAGGAATGATTTCATTCCTAAAAATATAGATAAGAATTCAGGTATAGGCTGAGTACAATTGAGAATTTTGGAGAGGAACTGGAGAAAAATGGACTAAAAAGAATTTAACTCGATTTCTAGTCCCTTGATTGAAACTTAATGGTATGTTTTACTGAACTTAAGGATTAGGTAAAGTAATCTTAATTTCTAGTGAGAATCTTCCCTCAAACTCACTAAACTCATTGCTGTCGAGTCAGATCCAACTCATAGCGACCCCTGCTTGGGTTTCCAAGGCAATATCACTATAGAAGTAGATTGCCCAATCTTCCTTTTGAGGAGTGGCTGGTGGGTTTGAACTGCCAGCCTTCTGGTGAGCAGTAAAAGGCCTTAGGCAACTACACTAGGAGAGCTCCTGAGAATCTTCCCAGTACCTGTTAAAATGCAGTTTCCCCAGCTCCACACAAGACAAGTCAGAAGGGGCCTAGGGCTGGGGCCCAGGAATGCATTGTTATTGTTGTTAACTGCTGTTGATTTGGAAACCCATGCACAAGGGAAGGAAAGACTGCCTGGTCCTGCACCATCCCCATGATCAGATGGGAATTGGACCATTGTGATCCATAGAGTATTCACTGGTTGATTTTCAGAAGATTGTCAGGTCTTTCTTCCTAGTCCATCTTAGTCTGGAAGCTCGACTAAAAAGAAACCCATTCAGAACAATAGCAATGTGCAATCCACTACTAACAAATTGGTAGTGGCTCTGCAAGAAGTGCACTGGCTAGGAATAGAACCCGGGTCTCCCACTTGCAAGGTGAGAATTCTACCACTGCTCCACCACAGATCCAATCTAGGAATGTGTTGTTGTTGTTGTTGTTGTTGTTATGTGCTGTCGAGTCATACCCGACTTATAGCGACCCCTCCTTGGGTTTCCGAGGCAGTATCACTACGGAAGTAGATTGCCCCATCTTCCTTCCGAGGAGTGGCTGATGGGTTTGAACCGCCAGCCTACCAGAGCAGGATCCTTACTCAGAACATACTTCAATAAACATTGCTTTAGGGTTTCCTCTTGATTGATTTGCCAAACTCAAAAGTATTTGCAAGGGAGTTAGAGTAAATAAAATGAAATTTCCTGATGGGTTGCTTCAAATATATGAGGCTCTTGAATCACAAATTTTTATTTGGTCAAGCATGTTTCATCATTTGTGAAACTGTAATTATTTCTCCACAAACTTTAGAATAGGAAAATGAGAAGCTATTAAAGTATCTGGCACATAGGCTTTCTCTCATTGGTTTATTTCTTGGTTTTTCAGTTTTTCTAAAGTAGACTTAGACATCTGTGCAGCAATTAGATGCCAGATGGCAAACATTAATAAGATGCATCATTACAGAAGTAATCTTTGTGTGTGTGTGTGTGATTTGGGTGAAAGTTTACAGAGCAAATTCACTTTCCATACAGCAGTTCACATACACTTTGTCTCATGACATTGACTACAATTTACCCAAGTTCAACAACTCCCCTCCCACTTCCTCCCCATAGTTACCTCTTCCCTGTGTCCTTCCCTCTATACACTCCTGCCCCTTGAGCTGTCTCCTTGTGTATACATAGTACCCTTCTATTCTCCCATGATTGTACTATCTAAGGAGTGTATCTACCTTAGGTAAATGTTCAACTCATACGCCTGTCTTTTATTTGGCTGGAAGCCACATGTGGGGGTTCAATTCCAAACCTGAAGGGCAACTAGGGGCCATAGTCTCAATGGTTCCACCAGCTCTATCAGAACAGAAAACCTGGTCCCCCTTTCTTTTTTTCCCAAATGATTTTGAGTTTTGTTCCACATTATTCTCCCTCTCTATTCAGGATTTCCTACATAGATCCTCCTAGTGGTTTACAGTGGTAGCCGGGCACCATCTAGTTCTTCTGGTGTCATAGTTGTATAGGCTGCAGATCACATGGTGTACCAGTCACTTGGGCTAATTGTTTCCATGAATCTTTGGTTTTCCTCATTCTTCTTTGCTCTGGATGAAGAGAGACCCATCGTTGCATCTAGATTGCTGCTTGCAAACTTTTAAGATCTCAGTCGCTACTCGCCAAAGTAGGAGGCAGAACAATGTTTTGTGTAGTATGTTATGCCAATTGAGTTTGATGTCCCTTGCAACTATGATCCTGAGCCCACAGGTTCAACTACTTGCTCCCTCTGGGTAGCTGGCTGTGACCAAGAAGTGACTACAATATTGTCCCTTGTCAGCTCTACTATACACATGGGAATTCCTACAGAACATACAAATATACTTGTAGATCCATTGTCTGCCAACCCTGTACATGGTCTTGGGCACACTCCCTGCTGCATAGACATACCTAATAGTTCAGCCTGTCCACTCATCTATCCACCCATATGTTTGCCTTTACTGACAATGCAGTACTGTATGTGCAAAAGGGTTCATCTTTGTTGTCTGTACCTTCCATGTACCTTTCTATGTCTTCCTCTTCGTCAATGCCACCATATTGATCACTCACATTTG